CTCTTATTGGAGGTTCAGATCTTCTTTTAGTGGTGTCACTGCAAGCCAGCAGAAGCCAGGCAAATGGCAGGAGTTGTGCCAGTTGTGGAAAGGACTCTGGGTGACTTACACCTGCACTGGCCCTAGTGATGCTCTGCCAACTGTGAGCTACCAATTGGGGAAACCTACATGAAGGCAGCTAGTGACCAGTCCTAGACTCGCACTGTTGATATTAACCTCTGCTCTGAGCAAGTGTTTTGACAGACTGGTCAAATTCTTGGTTTTTGTAACGTTTCAGTTATACAGGTCTTTTCTAAGATATAAGATCAGCCAATTATTTTCATCAGAAGATAATTAAAGAAAATGTAGTTAAGATTTCTTCATATGTTGTTCTGATATGTATTTTTTTTCTTTCTTTTTTCAGGTATTCTTTTGGTAAGTGAACCTTTTTTTCTGAATATTCTTCACCTTTCTCTTATTGGGAAAACAAAATTACTTTAAACCGGTGAATAGAAATCAAGCGTAAAAATAATTACCTAGAATATTATAGTTAGAAGGGTTCATGGACAACAAGAAGCAAATATCGTAGTGTCACAATGTATCTTTCTGTAGGCTGAAAAATTTAGAGATCCAAATGTCTCAGTTGCTACACCAAGGCATCGGCCTGCTCATCAAGGACTTGGAAGCAATTTATGCTTCAAATACAGACCAAATAAAAATATGGGTGGTCATGTTGTTGAGTCTACTGCAAACATGAGAGAATCTGTAGAAAAGATTTAAATAACTCTCCTGCTGTGCAAACATGTTACAAATGCCGCCTTGGTTCCCTGAACATAAGTGATCACTCCATTGAGTAGACTGAGCTTGTATATCTGAGCCGCCAAAGGCATCTGTGAGAAATGACTTAACAATTGAATGCCTTGTATGAGAATATGATAATGCCATTTACCTCAGAATGGCTGCTTTCGTTGGTGAGCCGTTCTGGGCAGGGACGGATTTTGGTTTTCATAGGCCCTGGGCACTTTCACTCTGAAATGTGCGAAAAGAGGGGTAAATGCCAATTGAATTGCGTCGATTGACATGATGCACCTTAAACTATTCTGTTGCTAGACCACGTGATTGAGGGAGCGAGTCGAGCGACCATCACTCTGATAATTCTAGCTTCTAGAACAGCCGCTCGATAGCGTGTGATTATTGATTGGGAGCACCTAGAGTCGATCGCAAGCACGTTGTTTCAGCTTTGTTTTTCATTCGTGAGTGGTTCCCTCCTTCGTAGGCCCTAATAATTTCGTAAGCCTTAAATACCATGCCTCCAGTGCCTAATGGGAAATCTGGCATTGTTTCTGGGTTTACGAAAGCACCCTTTCAGGGAAACAGGGTGACATCCATAGGCAGACAAGCAGGAGGCCTTGGAGTAGCCCAGGGGGCGCTGTTGGAAGGTGTGCTGGTTTTGGTAACTGAAGATTCAAGAGGCTGGAGTCCAGTCACCCAACTGCGGAAGGCCACTCTTCAGGCACATGAGGCAGCCTGCTGGTCTGGGCAGGAGGTGTCAACCCTGGAAGGGATGGTTGGATTGTACCAATTTGGCTGCTCGCTTGGCAATGTAAAAGAAGAGGACAGGTGATTGAAGGGAGGTCATTCAGGCCCTCTTGTTTGTTAGGGAACAAGTAAAGTTTAATTTTCCATTGAAAGGTAGAAAGAAGAAGCGGTGTTACGGCCATTGAGCCTTCTTACCATCTTCCGTCTTTGGTTAGTAATGGTGTTAACGATTCAAGAATCCCAGCAGTTTATTTAAAAGATGCCCTGGAGTCTGTGTGGTGAGAGAGTCTAAGAAAAACAGAGACTTGGAGAAGAGAATAGGAATAGGAGTCAAATCACAGATTCCTGTAACCGTGTGCAAGGTTACTGTACTGAGTGTTCCCAAGCTTGTCCACTTGTGTCCATTAATCCTGGTTGTGGTATTGTTAATATTAATAATGTGTCTGAGAGGAGAGATTGTGCGGCGTGGGGGAGTGGACCACTTCTCAGTGACGTCAACGCAAGCCTGCAGGTGCTCAGGAATCACAGGAGTCTCAAAACTGAGAGAAGCTTGGCTGAAGAATCCCAGCTCTGAGCCTGGGTGATGTCACCAGCCAGCTCTGAGCCTGGGTGATGTCACCAGCCAGCTCTGAGC